ATAAATGAGAAGAAACAGAGAGAGAGAGAGAGAGAGAGAGAGAGAGAGAGAGAGAGAGAGAGAGAGAGAGAGGAGAGAGATGGAGGAGGGAGAGGGTTAGGGAGATGAGAGAGAGAGAGAGAGAGAGAGAGAGAGAGACAAAGAGTGAGAGACAAAGACTGACAAAGCATACTTAACAGCCATCCTACGCAGAACAACCAATTCCATAACAAACTCTTAGAAAAATAAAAATAAAATAGAAAAAAATAAGTGAATAGATAAATAAATAAATAAGTAAGTAAACAAATAAATAGAATATCAGGAACAAATCTTTGACGTAATCGGAAAGAGCATTACAAGCAGAAATGGGTTTTTCAAGACGTCAATCATTCCTTTATCTAGAATACCTGTTGCTTCGGTTCTCATCGGACGAAAATGCAGGAAAGAGAGAGAGAGAGAGAGAGAGAGAGAGAGAGAGAGAGAGAGAAGAGAGATGAGAGGAGAGAGAGGAGAAGAGAGAGAGAGAGAGAGAGAGAGAGAGAGAGAGAGAGAGAGAGAGAGAGAGAGAGAGAGAAAGAGGAGGGGGGAATCTGGTGAGTGTCGTACATCTGGCAGCAGGCGTTAGAGACCTTGAGCTTGGGGTAAGAATGGTATATAGATAGATAGAGATAGACAGATATATAGATAGATGGATAGATAATGATGATAATCATGATAAGGATAAGTATTATGATGATAGCAAATGGATATGATAATGACAATCACAATAATGATATCAACAGTATTGATAACAGTAATGATGATATCAATAATAACAATAATAATGATAAGAATGATAGTAATAATGATAACAACAGCAACGCCAAAAAAGAGAAAGAAGGAAGAAAAGAAAGGAGAATAAAAGCAATAATGACAATAACAACAATAAAAATTATAACGGTGATTATAGCGAAGATGGAAATGAGGATCCTAAAAGAAGATTATGATACAAACAAACAAACAAAAAAAAAAGGAGAAAGAAAAAAGAAAAGAAAAAAGAAAAAGAAAAAAAAACATAAATAAATCAATATTGATCATCATTAGCACGTGTCTGCTGATATCGTTTCTCCTGCAATTAATCATTAATTAACAGAATAAGACTCTTCGAGGTTTTCAAGCTTTTAAATCCCACAGAACCCCGCCCATAGCCAAGCCCAGTTTAGAACCCAAATCCAAGCTTTTAAATCCAGTTCACAGAACCCCGCCCATAGAACTTATCGTATAGAAAGCCGCCCATAGAGATCACGCCCACAGAATGTATTCCCACAGAAACCCGCCCACAGTTTCTTTCTCACAAGACCCCGCTACACAAACCTCGCCCACAGAACCCCGCCCATAGAAACCTCGCCCACAGGCCTCCACCCACAGAACCCCGCCCATAGAAACCTCGCCCGCCCACAGAACCATAGAAACCTTCACCCCGCCCAGAAACCTCAGCCCACAGAACCCCGCCCATTAGAAACCTCGCCCACACCTCGCCCATAGAACCTCCCCTACCCCGCCCATAGAAACCCCGCCAAGACCCCGCCCCCGCCCAGAACCCTCCCTCCCCCTTCCCCCCTTCCCCGCCCGCCTTCCAACCCCACCCACCTTCCAACCTCACAGAACCCCGCCCAACAGAACCCAGCTGACGGATCCTCGCCTAGACAAGCAGCCCCCCCCCGCCCCTCCTACCTCCCCCCCCCCCCTAAAACGCAGACGTCAGCAGCGGTTGGCCGATAAGAAAGGTATGCCTGAATATACGTCACGCTGCCCTGCTGATACCCACACCAGCTCGATGCGAATGCCTAATTATATATTTGCTTCTAGATATGTTTTCTCTCTCTCTCTCTCTCTCTCTCTCTCTCTCTCTCTTTCTATTTCTCTTTCTCTCTCTCTCTCTCTCTCTCTCTCTCTCTCTCTCTCTCTCTCCTCTCTCTCTCTCTCTCTCTCTCTCTCTCTCTCTATCTATATATATATATATATATATATATATATATATATATATATAATATATAGATATAATATATATATATATATATATATATATATATATATATATATATATATATATATATAATATATATATATATATATATATATATATATATATATATATATATATATATATATATATATATATATATATATATATATTATATATATATATATATAATATATATATATATAATATATATATATATATATATATATATATATAGTTGGTGTTCGTTTGTGTGTGTATACACACATAAATATTTACAGTATGCATAAGTCCCTTTCATTGTCTTTCCTTTTACGTCTCTGTCGATTTTCTGTTTTGGTTTTTATCAATGGGACAGATTTCTTTCCAGACCATCAGCCCTTTCATTCACAAATCCATAAAGAGTAATGATCTCTGTCTCACAATATCAACAAAAACATCCGGGTTATTTTTATCTGTTCGTGAAGGCGTTTGTTTCTATAACCGATCTCCAGTCATTCATTTTTCATGGTTTTTGAT